ATTGAGAGTTTGTTTTTGTGATTCAATTCTACAAGAGCTTGAGGAGATCATCTATTGGTGTTTGGGCATCCAACTCTTCTCCCTCCACTCTTGATATATTGAGAAGTTTTCTAAACTCTATTTCTAGCTTTTTTATATATTTGATTATCATTGTTATTAAGCTAGAACTACATTGAGTTTAGTTTTGATTTATATCTCTTTGTTCACACACAACCTTTTGAGCTTATTGTATTTACATTCATAGTATAATTTGGGGTTGTGGGTTTGTGACTAAGAGTTGTGCTTAATTGAGTTCTCACCTTGTTTTGAGAACAATCATTTGTCATATTTGTGCTTATTGTGAGAATCACTTTGTAATACACTTGTACACCGAGTGAGGAGTGTGTGGTGAGAGTCGGGGATCGTCCCAAGAGGAGTGGCGTCGGTTGACGTGCCTAGGGAGAGGTTGTAACCGAGCACTTGAGGGAGACACAACTAGGTCCAACACTTAGTGGGTGTAGAGTGTGATTGCAAGAGTGTGAGTTGTAGAGTTTTCGGTTAACTAGAAAACCGAGTGTGTAGAAGAAGTTCCGGCTTCCAAACCGGATTGTGTTAGTGGATTTCTCCCCGGGAGTGGGGAGCGGAGACGTAGGACGGAAGGTCCGAACTCCGTGATCATATTGCTTGTTTGAGTGTGCTTTGGCGTTCATTTATATTTATGTTCATATCTTATATCGCCATTGGCCATAGCTCATTATCTATATGATCCACTATTTAGTTCATATTGTTTACCCCTTGTGTTAGTTTCATATCCTTGCATATATCATATTGTATATCTTTTTGGTAGGATATATTATCTTGTGTTAGTTTATATATCCTTGCATATATATAGGATGTATCTCTTTGTTGTTCATATTGCTTATCCTAGCTTACATTTCTTGTTGTATTTCATACTTGCTGGGATAACGTTTTAATTAGTTTTTAATTGGTATTTAATTGGATTAGATTAGCATAAGACCCTAATCACCCCCCCTCTAGGGTCTAACAAGTTGATGTCACACATGAATCAGCTTCCTACAAGGCTTCTCCCTTGAGCATGTATAGATTTACAGCTATCTTTTCTCCTTTTATGACAATAAGCGCCCCTCTAACAATCTTCATGATCTCATTTTTTATATGGGTCTTGCATCCATGCTCATCCAATTGTCCTAAAGATAACAAATTCTTCTTCAAGCCTTTCACATGTCGTACATCTTGAATGGTGCATATTGTACCATCAAACATTTTAATTTTGATAGTGCTAATACCAAAAATTTCTAAGACATGATCATTGCCCATGAATATAAATCCTCCTGAGATAGGTTCATATTTATGGAACCATTCTCTCCGGGAGGTCATGTGCCAGGAGGTTGCTAAATCTAGAAGCCAGACATCAACAAACTTTTTTCTGCCTTCATCAACAATGGTTGCTCCACTGTATAAAATTTTACCATCTCTGATGTGCTGATAACGCATCCTTGAGATGTTGATGGCTCTGAGATTAAGTGGAGCGATATCGTGCTAGATTGCTGATAAAAGGATATGCTCAAAAAGAAGATATTAACTTTAATAAAATATTTTCTTCTATATTTTGTCTTACAACAGTCCGAATAGTGCTGGCTATGAGCGTTATATTTGACTTATATCTAGAGCAGCTAGATGTAAAAATAACATTTCTTCATAGAGATCTTGAAGAAAAAATTTACATGCTCCAACCAGATGATTTTGAAGAAAAAAAAGAGAACTTGGTTTGCAGATTGAACAAATCTATGTACGGTTTAAAGAAGGAGTCGAGGTGTTGGTACAAGAGTTTTGATTCATTCATCATAAGCCTTAGATACAACAGACTTAATTCAGACCCTGGTGCATATTTCAAGAGGTTTGATAAAAATAACTTTGTTATCTTATTATTGTATGTTGACGACATATTGGTTGTAGGTCTCAACAAAGATCGAATCAAAGATTTAAAGGCACAGTTGGCTAGAAAATTTAAAATAAAGTATTTAAGATCTGAAAATAAGATTCTTGGGATGCAAATTTATCAAGATAAAATGAATAGAAAGATTTGTCTTTCTCAGAAGAATTATTTGAAGAATATTTTACGACGCTTTAACATGCAAGATTATAAGTCAATTTCTACCCTACTACTTGTTAACTTTAAGTTATCCTCAAGTATGAGTCCTAGCAGTGAAGAAGAGAGGATGAAGATGTCTCGAGTACCGTATGTATCAGCAATGGGAAATCTAATGTTCACTATGATTTGTACAAGACTAGACATTGCACAAGTAGTGGGAGTGGTTAGTCGATACATGACGAATCCTGGTAAAGAACATTAGAATGTTGTAAAGAGGATCCTAAGATATATTAAGGGAACCTCAAATATTGCATTATGTTATGGGGGATTAGATTTTATTATCAATGGATATGTTAATTCTGAATATGCGGGTGATCGTGATAATAGTAAATCCACCACAGACTATATGTTTGCATTTGCTGGCAGAGTTGTAAGATGGATTTTAAAATTGCAGTCAGTTGTGACTACTTCAACAACAGAAGCAGAATATTTAGCAGCTACACAAGCTAGTAAAGAGACGATATGGTTGAAGATAGCGCTGGAGGAACTCATGCATGAACAAAAGAAGATTTCTCTATTTTGTGACAGTCAGAGTGCTTTGCATTTAGCAAAAAATTCAGCTTTTCATTCAAAGACAAAACACATTCGAGTCCAGTACCACTACGTTCGTGAGAAAGTGGAAGAAGGAACAGTGAATATGCAGAAAATTCACACCAAAAACAACCTAGCAGACTTTTTGACAAAAACAGTCAATACTGATAAATTTATTTGGTGTCGATCCTTTTGTGGTTTGTCGGAAACGTGAGCAACATAAAGATTGCAACATAGAAAGAATGTGTTAAGATATGATTGATACTCAATCAAAATTTCAAGTGGGAGATTGTCAGTCGAAATTGTTGAAGGAGAAAAGTGAATGGGCCCTACCACTCTAATTATGCTCCGAAAGTGGAAAACACCGAAAGATTGACACAGTAAAAATATTATAAAATTAGGAATAGTGTTTTCCCAGTCGCTATAAATAGGCGCAAAACTCATCAGAAAAAATCCATCCCAGAAACAACTCCACATATAGAAGAGTGAGAGAGAAAAATAGAGAGAGTTTCTTCTTGTAAATAGAGATTGTAACTCCAAAGTTTTTCCTCATAGTGGATTCTTCTATCATTGCCCGTGGTTTTTACCCCAAATTTTTTTAGAGAGTTTTCCACGTAAATATGTGTGTTCTTTTTGTCTCTACTATTTGTCGAGACTCTGCTTTATTGGGCCCTGGGTTTGTCCCAACAGGAAACTAACTTCATTATTTGCAACAATATTTGTATGGTAGCTATGAGCCAATATGACTCTCAACTTATCATAGAAATGAGCCAATATGAACACAGTATCGTTATAATCACCAATTTTAAAGTCTTTCGGGTACTTGTCAATAGGGCTGGGCATATTCGGTTCGGATCGGTTTTAAGCTCAATCCGCATCCAATCCGAATTTTTCGAATTCTCAAAACTCTCATCCAGATCCAGATTTTTTTCCCTTCATCCGAATATTCGGCCCAACCGAAATTCGGATCGGTTCGGATCGGTTTCGGTTTTGGACCGAATTAATACTATTTCACAAAAATCTGCCCACACCTGAGATCATTGCCTATTAATTTATGATGAAGTATCATTATTTGTCCATTTTGTCTACTTAACTTTTTCCCCCAAACAATTAAATGTGGAGCTTGTTTAAAGTAACACCATTGCCACAGCTAACAAAAAACCAAAATCAGTGAAATGAACGCAAACCATATCAACAAGTACATATGGTTACGTAACATTCAAATATTAATTAACTATAATATAAAGGTTATCTTTCATTTCTTGGAAAACAACTTAACATGCCTCTAGTAGAATTTGAAAGCTTATATGAGGTTTCACCGATTTTAATGCGGGCATATACGCTAGCAGGCCCAATGAAAAAGGAACTATACAATATAAACATGTATGTAAACATAACAATCAAATTACCGAGCAATTATATAGCTTAATGTTCAAGTGATGACTCACTAATAAGAAAGCTATTCCATCCGACTTCGTCCGAACCAAAAGTTCTTCCATTTTGACCGAATTCCGAACGACGAAGTCCTTCCCATTTTGAGCAATATGAATATCCGACAAAGAACGAATTAGAAAATTTGGTTCGGTTTTTTTTCGGGCGGTTCAGGGGTTCAAACCGGATCCAAACCGGTTTAATTCGGTTCGGACGGTTTAGAGTCTTCTTCTCATCCATTTAATCCGGTTCGGTTAACCGGCCCGCTTTTTCGGGCGGTTTTTTCGGTTGAACCGGTTTTTTTCGGTTTTTGCCCACCCCTACTTGTCAAGACACCGACGCACTTCCTTTTAATATGATTTTATGTGGAGGGCCGCCCGGGTGTTTCCCACCCCTCCCACTCTCTGAGGAGTACAGAGCAAATACAGCTAGGCCGAAGCTGGAGCTAAAAATGAATCTCGAGTACAAGTACACATCTCCCTCTTCAGGAAACAAATATCCTGCAGCCTTATGCCTGGTCCCTTACCTCTTTATGAAAGTCGGTACACGTACTATTAGGCCGACCAAACATTGGATATTCTTTTCTCCCAAAAACCATTTGGACACAGGGTCAATTTGGGCGGCTACCAAGTACTCCTATTTTTTTGCACGCAAAATCTAATGTGTTATACTACGTGCATTGTCATGATATTTTCCTATGTTTAAGTGGACTTAATGATGATTAGTGGTCTTCTTATGTTTTTCGTCTGACATTTTCCTACTTTATGGCGATTTTTTTGACCAGAAGCTTCACACGGCAATGCTTTTTTGCAAGCTCTAAGTCCATGATGCCTTTTATATTTATCAGTTATGACATTGTTTTCTAATGGATATTGGCAAAGAAAAATAACGTACATACGATGAGATTATATATCAAGGGAAGTTGATAATAAACAGTAAAGAAACATACATTTCCATATAACAAAGACATAAGATACAAAGCCTCCTTATTTTATATAACAAATTAAACAACAACCGCACATACTTCTACAACAAAACAATTAATCTGCATAACATCTTCCTTTGATGAAGCAAACCAAAGATCGAGAATCATTGTCATATCCTTCTTCATTTTACGGGCATTTACGCACGCCCCCATGGGTAGTCATCGTAGCATAGCACAGGCACGAATCATCATAGCCGTAGGTCCCTGCAGGCACACATCCACACCTTGTGCAACAAGTTCCACAAGCCCTTTTACAGAGGTTTGGCCTTGAAGATTTGCTGCATCTTATCTCACACGCTCCTCCACAATCTAAAATTCAAAATTTCACTAAGATAGTTAATTTCAAGAAAAATGTATATATAACTATAATCGCAGAGATACTCTCCATGTAGTTATGAGGGTCTATCTTCTCATATATATCCCCTAAACTATTTTATCAGCACTTAATTAGCATACGTTATATGAATACCAGATGTAATTATTCTCACATGAGAATCATATGACGGTAAGTTACCTGTTGTTCGTGGCTTAACTGTGGCAGCTAATTAGTTTTCCTCGGAATTAAGGATAAAAATGTCCCATCATCTAAGATTCAGAAGTATATATATATATATATATATATAAGACCTAATAAATTAAACTAGTTTTGAAGTTAGCTACATCACCATGATACATGGAATGTACATGCAATTAGCCGGACTATAATCATACAGATTTAAGGTACTTACCCAAGGGTGCAACTGTAGAAGGCTTGCTACCAATGGGCCCTTCTACCTTTTGAGACTCTACAAGATGGAGAGCAAGCACAAAAAGGAGAAGAGAGGCAATAAAGAAGCGAGATGAAGCCATTAAAGAGAAGGAAATTTTATATATTTACTTCTATATATATCTCAAGGTTTATTGTGATTGTGAAGATGGAGGAGCTAGGGACTCTATTTATAGAGGGGGAAGGTTGCTCATGTGTAAGTAAAAATTTGCATTGAGGTGAGTACTACAATTCATTGGAAGGGTTTGGACTTGTGGTGTAATTAGATTGACTTAGATTTTCGGTTGGCAAGTCAGGTCTTGGACTGTCTTTATGTAGGACTCCAGCTGGGCTAAAGCTGGACAAAAGTGATTTTGATTCTTTTGTGTAACATCAAGCAGGTTTCATGAGTCTTCTCCGGCCCACTCATGCTCTCTATTTTCTTTTCTTTCCAGCTTCTAACTTCCTCTTTTTTGATACTATATAATATATATATATATATATATATTATATATATATATATATATATTATATATATATTATATATATATATATATTTCCAGCTTCTAACTTCCTCTTTTTTGAATATATATATATATATATATATAATATATATATATATATATATATATATATATATATATATATATATATATATATATAGAAAAATGGGTATGGCTTGGTACCAAGCACAAATTTGTGCTTGTAGTGATGTGTCACATCCTCCTCCACTCACTACCCATGTGAATGTGGGTCTCATATTTGAATGAGTGGAGGAGGATTGACACATCACTACCAAGCCACAACTTTTTGTGCTTAGTACCAAGCATACCCATATTGCTCATATATTATATATATATATATATATATATATATATATATATAATATATATATATATATATATATATTATATATATTATATATATATTATATATAGAAAACGGGAGGTGAGCTGGCAGCGTAGGAAATTTCCTACGCTGCAAGTGTTGACATGTGAGCCCCACACCGATGTGACTATGTAGGGGGGCTCACATGTCATACACTTGCAGCGTAGGAAATTTCCTATGCTGCCAGCTCACCTCCCGCTTTTCTCATATATTATTATATATATATATATATATATATATATATATATATATATATATATATTATATATATATATACTATATATATTTATATATATAATATTATATATATATCCGAATGCATCATTTCCATTAATTCAAGTAATTATTAATTTGGATACTTCCTGTTTCTTATCCATCATCCTTCTAGTTCCGCTTGCCATTTTATAATCAAAACCATCATAATTGTTCATTACGTGCTGAATGCTATTATTGTTGAATTTAAATCTAATTAAATCTATTTATGGGCACATATGTTATATCAGTGTGTGTTGCTATCTTTAAGGTTGACCCGCATAAAGTATCAATTAGTTAATTTTGGTCAATGGGTATTAAGTTAATCATTGGCTAATTGTGTAGATATCAGGTTGTAATTATAATTTGATGATGGGCTGAATTATAAATATACAACATCTATAAATAAGGGGTTATGGTCCCTAATCTTGGGCTACGTTCTCTATTCTCTTAATCCACATCTAAAGAGAAATTCGGTTAGAGAGATCCTCAAGATTAGAAGATCAAACCCTAATTCAGATCCGTGTAAATTCGTCATGGATTCAGGTATGCTTCCGCTCTTCTTGTTATAATGATTACTATTGTATGTTTTATATCGATTAAAGATCAACAAGTGGTATCAGATCCACCATGATTAACTCTTAGGGATCTAAGATTAAGATTAAAAAATTAGGGTTCTTTGATCTTAATTTTGTTTTATTAAGATCTGTTGATGCACTGTAGCATGCATGAATCTTGTTCTATTGCACACATGAACAATAACGTTTATGTTTTGGTTTGATTTTGTCTTTCGGCTGTTGAATTTGGATCAAACTCTTAATCTAGATTGTGTGCAACTTATCAATTTTCGGTTTGAAAAAAATCATCATCTGTATCTCTTTTTGGTTTGGCGTCGATCGTTGGGCTCCTCGCCGACGATGTATTTGCTAGCGGCCCCACTGTCAAATGAAGACAGTGGCGGCGGCAATCAGGAACCCTAGGGTGCAGGAGCCTAAGCGGCGGCGACGGCGTTTCAGTTTCGAAACTCTTAAGATTGTGTAGAAATTAGAGAGGTGCGCAGTTACCTCGATTCAAGCGCAGCCTCGTCGGCTACCTCAGCAGGCGAGCTCGAAGCTAAGTTGTAGGCGAGCCTCATTGGTTACCTCAAAGGCGAAACTCGAGCCTAAATCAGGCGAGCTAGAGCTTACACAGGCGAGCTCAAGCCCAAATCAGGCAAGCTCAAGCCTCGTTTACAGGCGAGCTCGGAGCTTCGTGTCAGGCGAGCTAGAATTAGGAATAAGGGCTTCGAACACTCGATTCAGGCGAGCTTCGGCTCGATTCAGGCAAGCTCGAGCCCCAACTTCAGGCGAGCTTCGAACACTAGATTCATGCGAGCTTGGCTAGATTCAAGCGAGCTCTTGGTCTCGATTCAGGCAAGCTCTCGAGTCTCCATTCAGGCGAGGTCTCGAGTCCCATTTCAAGCGAGCTTTCGATTTTTCAGGCAAGCTTGATTGGGAATTTTCTGGCGAGCTTCGTTTGGGGTGCGGTTGAGAAGAAATGAAGGCATTTCTTCTTAAAAGGCCAAAGAGTCACTTAATTTATTTGGTTTTTTGGGCATGTTATGAATGAGTTATTTAATTAAGTTGAAGGCATTTATAGTTATGGGCCTGAAATTTGGTAAGTTTTGGGCCAACAATTAATAAATTTCAAAATTTTATTTAATTTTAATTTAAATTGATTAATTTAAATTAAATTTGGTAGTTAATCAATTATTTAATTCAAATAATATGACACTAAGGTATTAAGTTTGTTTCTCATTCCAAATGATTAATTAAAACAAGTCCATGCCAAAGTAACCTCTCTTGTGTAGATTATTCATGAGGAAAGTTAGATGTTGTGTGTATGTTTTTGTGTAAATATTTAATTGGCCTAAAAGAAGATTAATATTTATTTAGACTACATACACATCTGCGCTGATAAACGCGTGACAATTATAAGGTTTACATGTGAATAATGAATCAATCCAAAGATAGTTTCATTGTTTGATATGAGTTATGTTAGTGTTTGATCATTGCAACAAAGTATCACTTGCAATTAATATTACTGTCTAAAAACTTGATATTAATGTTGTGTCAGATCTCTTGAGATAGGATTTATCATTATTTGAATTTTATTGATTACTAACTACAGTTAATAATATGAAAAATCTTTTATTTATTTTAGCTAATGCATCTGCTGCAACAATTTCTGCTAACATCAATTCAATTCCTATGCTCAATGGGACAAATTTCAAGGTTTGGAAAAAGAATATTTTAATTGTTCTTGATTGTATGGATCTAGACCTTGTATTAATGACTGAACAACCCTAACCTCTCAATACGGATAACACTCCTGATGCAAAGGAATAGTATGAGAAATGAGAGCGTTCAATTTGCATGAGTCTAATGATCCTTAAGCGCGGCGTTCCGGAAGCCTTCAGGGGCATAAAATCCGAAGGATTACTAAAGCTAAAATTTTCCTTGCTGAAATTGAGAAGCATTTTGCGAAAAACGATAAGGTAGAAACAAGCATGCTTTTAGCTTGCTTGATTTCAATGAAGTATAAGGGTAAAAGAAATATCAGGGAGTACATTATAGAAATATCTCTTATTGCTTCAAAAATTAAGGCACTTAAACTCGATCTTTGTGATGAGTTATTGGTGCATCTGGTTCTGTTATCTCTTCCTATACAATTTAATCAGTTCAAGATCAGTTATAACTACCAAAAAGAGAAATGGACTCTAAATGAGCTTATTTCATGCTGTGTGCAAGAAGAAGACAGGTTGAAGCAACATAAGACTGAAAGTGCTCATTTGACTTATACCTCTAATGATAAGGGTAAGAAAAGAAATAATAATAATGAAGCTACTAAGGGTTCAATTCATAAGAAACAACATAAGGATGACCAGGGCTGTTTCTTCTGCAATAAGACTGGACATGTAAAGAAGGATTGTACCAAATATCACGCCTGGCGTGCTAAGAAGGGTATGTTTCTTACTTTGATCTGTTCTGAGGTTAATTTAGCTTCAGTACTTAGAAACACTTGATGGTTATACTCTGGTGCTACTACTCACATAAGTGTTTTTATGCAGGGCTGTCTGAGTTATCGAAATCCAAGTGATGTTGAAAGACACATCTTTATAGGCGATGCACAATCGGTAGACGTGGAAGCAATTGGGCACTTTAGCTTGCTATTAGAAACTGGTTCATATTTGGATTTAAAAGATATTTTTGTACTACCATCTTTTAGATGGAATTTGGTCTCTATTTCTGTATTGGACAAATCAGGTTATCATTATTCATTTGAAAATAATCAATTCAGTTTATCTTTTAATTCAAATGTTGTGGGAAGTGGTCACTTGATTACTTATGACAACCTATATTTGCTTAATACAATTACTTCTTATGAAACCTTACATGTAGATTCACACGGTACTAAGCGTAAATTAAATAAAAAAAATTCAGCGATATTATGGCATATACGCTTGGGTCATATCTCAAAAGATAGAGTTGAACGTCTTGTGTCTGATGGAATTTTAGATTCTCTTGATTTTTCAGATTTTGACGTATGTGTTGAATGTATCAAGGGAAAACAGACCAAAGTTAAAAGGTTAGGTGCCAATAGATCTTCAGAAGTCTTAGAATTGATACATACAGATATTTATGGACCATTCTCTACGGCATCTTGGAATAGTCAATAATTTTTTATATCATTCATAGACGATTACTCACGTTATTGGTACTTATATCTCATTCATGAAAAATCTAAGTCACTAGAAGTGTTGAAAGTTTTTAAAGCTAAAGTTGAGAATCAACTCAACAAAAGGATTAAAACCATTAGATCTGATCGTGGTGATGAGTACTATGGCAGATATGATGGTTCAGATGAACAACGTTCATGACCATTTGCTAAATACCCAGAGGAATGCGGTATCATCCTACAGTACACCATACCAGGGTCACCCAGCATGAATGATGTAGCTGAAAGACGAAACAAGACTGTTTGGGTCAAAAATCGTTGTTTTCATTATGATTGAATCTATTACAACTTTAATCGTTTATAAT